TGAATTTCCGGCACGCAATCGCCACAACAATTACGGATAAGAAGTGATCACGGATCAATACACAATCAACTTGTGAACTTTTTGTAAGCTGAGCCATTTTCGAGAAATCTTAGTTGAATAATTTAGAAGAAGGTTAACCTTTTTGTTGCGAGTAGTGGCTGGGATGAAGCCTTCAGCGCAGCCACGAAGTAGTGACTCTCGACGACTGTTGAACCATATCGCGTTGATATAGTCATCAGGACCAAGAGTGGCCAGTATGTGCAAAACGGTCATACGAATCAAATGTACTGTCTGCCCTTTAACGCTTCCACTCCTGAAACTTGCGAATTTTTTGCGAGTCTTTCTGAAACTCGTATTCATATTTCAGCAGAATCAAACTTATCATTTGCATATGTATTCATTCTTGGGGTATTATCTTAGACCATACAAAAACTTCGCATTGATTAGCGAGTTTGATTTGATGTGATCGCATTTTCAACTGATTAGCTGGCAATATTGAATACTTTAAAAGAAGTATACTGAGAAATTTGTTGGTGAGGAGCTCTCGCCAGCGCAGTTTTTGGAATTTTTGAAACGATAAGGAAATGAAAGGAAACGACGAACATATCGATAAGAAAGAGAACATCTTTCGGCGCTGAAATCGCGCTGATGTACCACGGCCTGAAGCGTGGATCGAATAAATCGATGGTGATCGGCTCAGGTTCGATGGCCCATTTTTGCACTGAAATTTTCTAAATAGCCCTCAAAAATGCACTCAATTTACGTGTAGATTTGTATTCAAATCATAGAATTCATTGAGGTTTTCGATGAAAAACATCTTAAACTTATCAAATCCTATACTCAACTATGCTTGTTTAGTGATGAAATTTTTCAAATGCAAACCATTAAATTAGATCTGTGTGGAGATCATTTTTATACTTTTAGTCAAGCCTTTTTCTTCGAGCATTCAACAGAATACATAATGAAAATTTGCTTGGGCGATTTTTGAAACGATAAGGAAGTGGAACGAAAAGACGAGCATAAGAAAGAGTTAAAAATGATCGACAAGAGGAATGATCTCTCGTTTATCGTTTCAAATTATGATTTTCAAGTGGTCATCAGGGACTAACGTGGAAAAAGTCTGGTCAGGCCACTGCTCGTACCAATGAATTGTGATCGAATCGAGCTATCGCGCTTCATATTTTCACGAAACGTTCGCTGAATCTCCGGTGAATTGGTCCACTCAAAATCACGACGCACTGCACTGTCTGCAAAACAACGAATTCCTGAGAGTAATTTTTCGGAAATTGTTCGAAATAATGAAAACAACTCCTCTCAGCAGTTCAATCTATTAATAACGATTTGAGTGCGAATGTGAAATCCTCACGTACCAATCAACACAAATCATGCACACAATCACTTTATTCAGCAACAGATGACATGCGAAACATTCATGCCATTTACGATCATCGAGCAGCATGCTACTCGTTAAAAATTAGATTTCTCGAAGAATGTTCATCGAGCCAGGAGGCCTACTGGTTAGTGCGATGGACTAACGATCCCTTGGGATCTTTCCCGACATGAGATCGAATCTCATCCTGGTCGAGCACTTTTACTGCCAAACGCAAAAGATCAAGAAACAGTTATTCGATGAACTTGATGAACTTGATGAATTCTAAGATACTATTCCAAGACAATCGGTTGAAAAGTCATTTGACTTCTGTAGAATCACACGATTGAGCGAGGATTTTTTGATGATGTCGACCACTTGATTGTTCATAATGTTGATGAGATGGGATCGTGATTAAACAATCGCCGTTCGAATTCGATTCGAGTCGCCTTTGTGCAGAAGCTGGAATTGTCTGCATGCGATAAACAAGGTATATGAAAATGCATTCGTTCACTTGTAAATGCAAAAGCAAACCGTAGATGTGCACATGCAACCATAAAATGCAATTCATGCAGGGAATAGCATCCGTATCCACCCATCCGTCAGTGTTAAAAGCAGCACTCACTCTACTATAACCGGTGCTATACAGTAAGTCAAAGCATACTGTAATCAACATACTCTATATTCATACCGCAGCGATATGCCTCCACTGTCACATGAATGCCCGATTCCAGGTGTTCCACATTCGGCCTGTGCACGCTTGCGTCTTTCGTTTGATTGTACAACTTCACATCCACTCGATTCATTTCGTCAAGCAGCTGATTACACGCCTCATCACTCTGAAATTCCCAAAAAAGTTGATTGGTAAAAATCCATAGAAATTTATGATCAGAGAAAAATTCTGTGAATGTGATCAGGTGGCCGAGTGTCTCAGAGTGAGCAATATTCCCATTGGTTGTAAGACCAGGTGGCCGAGTGGTTAAGGCGATGGACTGCTAATCCATTGGGGTTTTCCTTGTTTTGCTTGTCGGGGAGGGATTCATTTTCCTTAATCATACGCTATATTATCCAAGAGAAACATGTTGTATTCCGGGAGCATATCATTCCAAATCTCTAGCAATATTCCAATTGGTTGTCAGATTAGGTGACCGAGTGGTTAAGGCGATGGACTGCTAATCCATTGGGGTTTCCTAGTGACCGAGTGGTTAAGGCGATGGACTGCTAATCAATTGGGGTTTCCCCGCGTGAGTTCGAATCTCATCCTGATCAGATTGTTTTGCTGGTCGGGAAGTCATTCGTTTTCCTAAATTATACGCTACATTATCCAATAGAAAGATGTTCTATTCTGGGAGCATATCATTCCAAATCTCAGAGTGAGCAATGTTCAGATTGGTTGTCAGATCAGGTGACCGAGTGGTTAAGGCGATGGACTGCTAATCCATTGGGGTTTCCCCGCGTGAGTTCGAATCTCATCCTGATCGAATTGTTTTGCTAGTCGGGAACGCATTCAATTTTCTTAATCATATGCTATATTTTACAAGAGAAAGATGTTCTATTCTGCGAGCATATCATTCCAAATCTCAGAGTGAGCAATGTTCAGATTGGTTGTCAGATCAGGTGGCCGAGTGGTTAAGGCGATGGACTGCTAATCCATTGGGGTTTCCCCGCGTGAGTTCGAATCTCATCCTGATCGAATTGTTTTGCTAGTCGGGAAGTCATTCATTTTCCTTCATCATATGCTATATTATCACCGCGTGAGTTCGAATCTCATCCTGATCGAAATGTTTTGCTATTCGGGAAGGCATTCATTTTCCTAAATCATATGCTATATTATCCAAAACAAAGATGTTCTATTCTGGGGCATATCATTCCAAATCTCAGAGTGAGCAATGTTCAGATTGGTTGTCAGATCAGGTGGCCGAGTGGTTAAGGCGATGGACTGCTAATCCATTGGGGGTTTCCCCGCGTGAGTTCGAATCTCATCCTGATCGAATTGTTTTGCTAGTCGGGAAGTCATTCATTTTCCTTAATCATATGCTATATTATCCAAGAGAAAGATGTTCTATTCTGGGACCATATCATTCCAAGTCTCAGAGTGAGCAATATTCCAATTGGTTGTCAGATCAGGTGGCCGAGTGGTTAAGGCGATGGACTGCTAATCCATTGGGGTTTCCCCGCGTGAGTTCGAATCTCATCCTGATCGAATTGTTTTGCTAGTCGGGGAGGCATTCATATTCCTTCATGCTATATTATCCAATATAAAGATGTTCTATTCTGGGAGCATATCATTCCAAATCTCAGAGTGAGCAATATTCCAATTGGTTGTCAGATCAGGTGGCCGAGTGGTTAAGGCGATGGACTGCTAATCCATTGGGGTTTCCCCGCGTGAGTTCGAATCTCATCCTGATCGAATTGTTTTGCTAGTCGGGAAGTCATTCATTTTCCTTAATTATATGCTATATTATCCAAGACGAAGATGTTCTATTTCAGGAGGATATAATTCCAAATCTCAGAGTGAGCAATATTCCAATTGCTTTTCAGATCAGGTGGCCGAGTGGTTAAGGCGATGGACTGCTAATCCACTGGGGTTTCCCCGCGTGAGTTCGAATCTCATCCTGATCGGATTGTTTTCCTAGACGGGAAGTCGTTCGTTTTCCTAAATTATATGCTATATTATCCAATAGAAAGATGTTCGAATATTCCAATTGATAGTCAGATCAGGTGGCCGAGTGGTTAAGGCGATGGACTGCTAATCCATTGGGGTTTCCCCGCGTGAGTTCGAATCTCATCCTGATCGAAATGTTTTGCTAGTCGGGAAGGCATTCATTTTCCTTAATCATATGCTATATTATCCAATATAAAGATGTTCTATTCTGGGAGCATATCATTCCAAATCTCAAAGTGAGCAATACTGTTGTATTCAGGGAGCATAACATTCCAAATCTCAGAGTGAGCAATATCCTAATTGGTTGTCAGATCAGGTGGCCGAGTGGTTAAGGCGATGGACTGCTAATCCATTGGGGTTTCCCCGCGTGAGTTCGAATCTCATCCTGATCGGATTGTTTTCCTAGACGGGAAGTCGTTCGTTTTCCTAAATCATATGCTATATTCTCCAAGAGAAAGATGTTCTATTCTGGGACCATATCATTCCAAGTCTCAGAGTGAGCAAATGTTCCAATTGGTTGTCAGATCAGGTGGCCGAGTGGTTAAGGCGATGGACTGCTAATCCATTGGGGTTTCCCCGCGTGAGTTCGAATCTCATCCTGATCGGATTGTTTTCCTAGACGGGAAGTCGTTCGTTTTCCTAAATTATATGCTATATTATCCAATAAAAAGATGTTCGAATATTCCAATTGATTGTAAGATCAGGTGGCCGAGTGGTTAAGGCGATGGACTGCTAATCCACTGGGGTTTCCCCGCGTGAGTTCGAATCTCATCCTGATCGAATTGTTTTGCTAGTCGGGAAGTCATTCATTTTCCTTAATCATATGCTATATTATCCAAGAGAAAGATGTTCTATTCTGGGAGCATATCATTCCAAATCTCAGAGTGAGCAATATGTGTTGTATTCAGGGAGCATAACATTCCAAATCTCAGAGTGAGCAATATTTTGATTGGTTGTAAGATCAGGTGGCCGAGTGGTTAAGGCGATGGACTGCTAACCTAATGGGGTTTCCCCGCGTGAGTTCGAAACTCATCCTGATCGAAATGTTTTGATGGGTTTCCCCGCGTGAGTTCGAATCTCATCCTGATCGGATTGTTTTGGCAGTCGGATAGTCATTCGTTTTCCTAAATTATTATATTATCCACCAGAAAGATGTTCTATTCTGGGAGCATATCATTCCAAATCTCAGAGTGAGCAATATTCCAATTGGTTGTCAGATCAGGTGGCCGAGTGTCTCAGAGTGAGCAATGTTCCGGATTGGTTGTCAGATCAGGTGGCCGAGTGGTTAAGGCGATGGACTGCTAATCCATGGGGTTTCCCCGCGTGAGTTCGAATCTCATCCTGATCGAAATGTTTTGATGGGTTTCCCCGCGTGAGTTCGAATCTCATCCTGATCGAAATGTTTTGCCGATCGGGAAGGCATTCATTTTCCTAAATCATAGGCTATATTCTCCAAGAGAAGGATGTTCTATTCTGGGACCATATCATAAGAGTGAGCAATATACCAATTGTTTGTCAGATCAGGTGGCCGAGTGGTGAAGGCGATGGACTGCTAATCCATTGGGGTTTCCCCGCGTGAGTTCGAATCTCATCCTGATCGAAATGTTTTGCTAGTCGGGAAGGCATTCATTTTCCTAAATCATATGCTATATTATCCAAGACAAAGATGTTCTATTCTGGGAGCATATCATTCCAAATCTCAGAGTGAGCAATGTTCAGATTGGTTGTCAGATCAGGTGGCCGAGTGGTTAAGGCGATGGACTGCTAATCCATTTGGGGTTTCCCCGCGTGAGTTCGAATCTCATCCTGATCGAATTGTTTTGCTAGTCGGGAAGTCATTCATTTTCCTTTATCATATGCTATATTATCCAAGACAAAGATGTTCTATTCTGGGAGCATATCATTCCAAATCTCAGAGTGAGCAATGTTCAGATTGGTTGTCAGATCAGGTGGCCGAGTGGTTAAGGCGATGGACTGCTAATCCATTGGGGTTTCCCCGCGTGAGTTCGAATCTCATCATGATCGAATTGTTTTCCTAGACGGGAAGTCGATGCTATATTATCCAAAACAAAGATGTTCTATTCTGGGAGCATATCATGAATCTCAGAGTGAGCAATATTCCAATTGGTTGTCAGATCAGGTGACCGAGTGGTTAAGGCGATGGACTGCTAATCCATTGGGGTTTCCTATGGCCGAGTGGTTAAGGCGATGGACTGCTAATCCGTTGGGGTTTCCGCGTGAGTTCGAATCTCATCCTGATCGAATTGTTTTGCTAGTCGGGGAGGCATTCATATTCCTTCATCATATGCTATATTATCCAAAACAAAGATGTTCTATTCTGGGAGCATATCATTCCAAATCTCAAAGTGAGCAATATTCAGATTGGTTGTCAGATCAGGTGACCGAGTGGTTAAGGCGATGGACTGCTAACCTATTGGGGTTTCCCCGCGTGAGTTCGAATCTCATCCTGATCGAATTGTTTTGCTAGTCGGGAAGTCATTCATTTTCCTTAATCCTATGCTATATTATCCAATATAAAGATGTTCTATTCTGGGAGCATATCATTCCAAATCTCAGAGTGAGCAATATTCCAATTGGTTGTCAGATCAGGCGCGTGAGTTCGAATCTCATCCTGATCGAATTGTTTTGCTAGTCGGGGAAGCATTCGTTTTCCTAAATCATATGCTATATTATCCAATAGAAAGATGTTCTATTCTGGGAGCATATCATTCCAAAT